CCGCCCGCCGCCCGCCGCTCCTCGTTCGCTCTGCTCTTTCTGCTTCCGCTTTGCCAGCAGGATACAGGATGCAGGATGCAGAGTGAGGAGAGCGGAGAGCAGCAGAGTCTGTTTGAATTTTGTCGCACTTCCTGTAGGTGGAAAAGCTTCGTGCGTCTTCCGCTTTCCCAGAGCTCTGCTCATCAGCAACGTAATTTCCGCACAGCCAGAGCAGCTGCCTCCGTGTGCTGATGGGTGGGCAAGGATTAAGAGTCCAGACAGCCACTGGGGCATGGACAGACTTTAAGCAAGCTGCTCGTGCGGCGGAGTACACTTTAAGAAAGGGGGGAGAGTTGCCCAAGGAGAGTATAAGTGAACTTCGTGTCTTCAGGCTTCAATTATTAACTTCGTTGTATCCAGAGAGTGAAGCGAACTAGTTGAATTCAAAGTTGAAAACAAAGTCAAGGCTTCAGTTAGGCTACTTCATGTGGGGTGAAATGCATTTGGGTGAGTGCACACTGTCTGGAGGAGTCAGAGTTCAGGTTAATGAAGTGCCCCGACGACAGCGACAGCATATCGGATCGGATTGCCCGGGCAACAAGTGCTGCTCCTGCCCATCCCCATCCCCGTCACCATGCCCATGCCCATGCCCACCTCCTGGTGGAGGTATCAACGACTCTTTGTCCGCCTGGCAGTTCATCAAATTCTCATGTGACCAAGCCAAGTAAGTTCAATTCATTCGAAATTTGATATGCGCTTCACATATTTAATGACTTCTTTCGGTTGCCGTCTTTACATAACACTCGATTCGATGAACTGCCAACGATCCCAATCCGATTCGATGCGATGCGACACGAATCGGATCCCCTGTTGCACCCACCTTAATAAACCAGGCGGCACTTGTACTCGAAGAAAATGAGCTACTGACTGTACAAGCATGTTGAGCAATACTTTAAATGGGGTAAAGAGTCTTATAGTATGATTGCAACTGGCATTTTTCCGAGTGTAGGGTTGGGCCTTGCCGCGGATATTCCCCATTTCCATGTCCAATCCCGCGCCGGGATGGGATCCCCAACCCAATCCCCGCACGTGATGGAACGTGGATCCGTGGCTGATGACTGGAAGTGGCGGTGGCAGTGGCACTTGTGGCAGCGATTTGGGATAGATGTTGCGTGTTGCGCTTGGTGGTTGGATGTTACCTACCACGCCCTTGGCCAGCGGTATGCATTTGTATGCAGCGTGGCGGATGCGACGGTCCGAGCGTTTACTTCTACATTTCTCGGTGACTAGGGAGTGTGGAATGGGGATTGGGAGACCAAAGACCGGAGACCCGAGACCGGAGACGGAGGCCCAAGGAATGCGTCAAACCGCTAGCCAAACAGAGAAGCCCAAAAGAATCGAAGACATAATAATACAAAGGGGAACGGTGGCCAACAGACAACAAGTGGGAGTGCACTGCAAGAAAATCACTAAGCACTCATAACAAATGCCAGCCTAATCAAGTCAGAACTTTTTCGAGCATTACATGTACAGCAAAAGCTAAACGCATTTTGATTAATATATATATACACCTATATGTACACTAAATACTGGGTATTTTCTCGCAGTGCGGAGTTCTTGTTATTTGAAACCCGGATTTACACCGCCATTAAAAGAAAGAATGAGCAACAAATTACTTTTACCGATCGCACGCAGCCCAGGAGAAAAGGCACAACAAAACCCCAGGCCGAAATGAGGAGAGCAACGACTGTAGCCACAACATTAAAGTCGGATTACAAGAACAACGGCTTGGAGCTTGGAACGGCCAAGATAACCCGGCTGCGACTGCGCCACGCCGGCCCAGGGAACGGCGAACACCAGCTGAATACGAATGCATAAATTAAGTTTGCCAGCCAGCGGCGGCATAAAATTTCCTATGTACGAATGCACTTGTCCAAAGGTTCAGTTCTCGCTTCTGGCTTCTGGCTTCTCGCAATTGATGTGCCCATCCCGAACTGAAATTGTGCATGCAGCGCGGAGTACGCGGTGGGCGTCTTTTGGAAGTTTGGAAGCGGAATGGGTACGGGTCGGTGGTCGGTGGTCGGTTGTGGGGAATTCCGTTTCCTTAGAAGCCCAAGCTGGTCGAAAATGCTGTCACTCCAAGCGCCACGAAGCAGAAGTGATGCGAATACTAAGGACGCTTTCAAGTTGCCCAGCAAATAAATCAATTTATGGCCATTCGCATGTGTAGGAGAAATAACAATTACTATTGCTCCGTCACATACACGTAAACTAGCTATAATCATTGTTTCCAGCAACCGAGATTGCAGCATAGAGCTCGGAGGTGTATGTATAAAAATGATAACTTTAATAGGTCCGAGTTTGGTACATGTGTATGATTAGGTGTTTACATATATGCAAATAACTATAACAAACAATAAGCGGAACAGATTCCCATCATTATCGAAGCCTGATAACCTGCAGCACACATCAATCAAAACGAATCGAATTGCAATGAAATAATTCGTTTAGCACCACCCATTGGCACCCTTGGTCTATTATAATATTTAACGCTATGGCTATGGCTACGCGAAGACAATCTAAATTAGTTTCACAATCACTGCGAGTTCGCTAAACTATTTAGCATGAGAAGCCCATCGAATCCTCCCACTTAAGCGTACAACTTAAAATATTTACACAGAATCCCAGCTGTCCGCCCCAATCGAAAAGTCGCTAGTCTTGTGTAAAACTCCTGAATCCCAAACCTCCACAACCACTCCACTTTGGCATTCCTCGGTTCGTTCGGTGTGCTCAGAGCCAGAGCAGGCGTTGATCCCAGGCCTGCGGCTGGGCCAAATCTCAGAGACCCGTGTGGCTCGTCTGCAGCTGCTCGATGGAAATGGATAGCTGTTCCAGGCGCTGCATCAGCTGCAGCATGTTCTCCTGCGCCTTGTTGGTGTTGAACTCGTTGCCGTGCTCCAGCGAATCCTCCTCGGCGGCAGCCAGTTCGAAATGCAGTTTGGCCAGGCTCTCCTGCTGCTCGCGGATCTTGGTCATCTGATCCATAGTGCAGCCGGAACCTGCTGGGAAGAAAACGCATGGGGATTAGCGAAACCGTGACTTCTCCAGGATTTCTGTGCACTAACCGAATGCCCTCAGCTTGCCAGAGTGGAAGTCGTCCAGCAGTCCGAGGAGGGCTCTCTCCATGTGCTTCACATCGGGCACTTCGGAGACAAAGGAATGATGTTTTATTGGACGATCGTCGAACTTATCGCTGTGGACACTGGCGTTTGGCATCGCTGCTGTGGGATTCTGGCGACGCTGCGTTCGCGGCGTGTTTTGATTGCTATTGTTATTGTGCTGATTGTTATTGTTCGGTTTCGTGCTATCGTTGTTGTTGTTGTTGTTATTGTTGTTCTTGGGGGTGTTGTGGTTGGTTGTGCCTGTGGCAGTGGGATCAGGTGCTAGCCACTCGCTACTGACCAAAGTGATCGCGTTCAAGCTGTTGGCACTGCCTTGGCTGGGTTCCAGCTCGTCGCGATCTGGTCTCGACATGAGTTGGTCAGCAAATCAAGTGTGGGGATATGAAAGTACAAATAATAATATACAAGAAACGAACAAATCATAAGTAAGAACTGAAAAGTGTGCACAAATGTTAAATAAATACTAATTAAAACTAATAAGGATATGTTTGCAACTACTTCGGTTATAAGTAATATTACAAATAAATGCTACAAATTATGGCTCAAAACGTCCTATAAGCAACTGTAGCTAAACCTCAACCGCCGTGTCAAGCGAAACGATTGGCAGGCTGTTCTCTTCGAGCTTTTCGCACAGGGCGGCGAAAGGCTCGAAGGCTTGTAATTTCAATAATTGAAATTATAACCACCTATCAAAGTGTCTGTGTGCGGGTGATGCGGGTGGGGAACGTGTGTACATGGGCTGTGAATAATGAAATGTGATGTATTCCGGCCATATGGCCACGGAAAAAGTGCGTCATCGCGGGCGAAGCTCGTTGGTGGCCGTGATAGCCGGCAATTAGCCGGATACTTTATCATTGATGGCGAAACATAAGGCAGTTTGTGTATTTCTAGGTGCGCGATAAATGAAGTACTCAACATACTGCGTTAAATTAAGTTCAAATATAGAAAGTAGTAGTAAAATGATAAGCACGTATAAGGATATAAGATTGCGCTTGCTTGGAGCAATATTTTCTGTCTGTAAGCCCGAACACCGAAGCCTTCCCAGCTGACACCAAAAACCGCGATCCACAGCGACTGAAAGGCACTAAGGGGGCAGAAGCGATGAGTTAGTGGACATTATGGCTTCACCCACCTTTGAGCAGTTTGCGCGGCCGGGTCTTGAACTCGAATCTTTCGTCTCCGGCGCCCCCGCCCCCGCTGCTGCCGCCGTGCGCCTGGGGGCGTGGCCGGCGCTCATTCACATAGGTCACCTTCGTGGCCGCTTGACCCTGGCCCTGGCTCTTGTCCTTCTCCTTCTCGGATATCGTCCTCTCGATGGAGCAGGAGGCGGAGTTTCTGCTGCGCGTCGTCTCGCCGCTGGATATGCCTTTGATTTTGATCTGCAAGGAAAGCTGGATGTAGTGTGTGGTTGGCGCAACAGAATCCCAAGGTATCTTACATTCGGAACGGCGGGCGAGGCGGGTGTGGCCGATTTCGGTGCGCTTTGGGCTTCCTCCTCCGTTTCCACATCGTTCACCAGCTTCTGGCGTTCCACCACCTCATCGTTGGGCTCCATTTGACTGGTTTTCCGCGCAAGATTTCGCTAAATTCGTTCAAGAAAACCGAATTTTCTTTGTTTTTATTTGGAGGCGAACCTATCGGGGCCTATCGCACTTCGATAGTTCGGTATTTATATTTTTCCTCAACGGTGTGAAACTGTGTGACCATAGCAAATATACCTAGAAAATGCCTAACTCACAATTGCGTGAGCCAAAACAGTGTTGCTCTACCTATTTAAGAGGAATATTATTTGGGCGGTCTTTTTGAATTTCGAAATGAAATCAATTAAAACAACTTTACTTAATTACAATAGTTTCTCTTTAATGGAGGAAGTATTTAAGCACATAGCTTAGGCCTTCTTCTTGGCGAATCCCATTGTGTAGACCAAGTGGACAAAGCTAACGATGCCAATGCCACACAGTCCAGCAGTGATGCCGAATAAAATCTTATCCGCTGGTCCGCCTTTCAGAAAAACGGGCATCTCGTTGACGGCCTGAAAAGTTAAGAGGCTTAAAACTTATTCGAAGTTGCCAGTCTCTAGAAAACTCACCTGGAAAACCTTCATTTTGTTGGAAAGTCCATCGGGTAGAGCCATTTTTGCCTATGCCTGTTATGTAACTGCCGAATAAAATGCAATAGTCGTATTTAAGCAAAGAATCTCCGTCGCAGTGAATCTTTTGTCACATTTAATGCATTTGTATGTTCTCCCTAAAATGCCAGATACACTTTAATTTTAAAAAACACTCACCTTCTAACGAATGTGCGACAATTAGTGAATTGCAATTGACTTGCTGCACTTTCTTGCAACAGATAAAAATAGAATAAATCACAGATGATCTCTAGCAAAAGGGAAGTGCCAAAGAAATGCAATTGAAGAGTTGTCAAGTTGTAGGGATAAATGTATCTGGAAACAAATAAATTAAAAATATAATATTAGACGCATAAAAAAGGCATAATTTTATTTAAATTATATTTTAAGCCGCTTAATACACTTTTTTCTACCACTGCTTGAACTCTTTTTGAATTTCGCGCCACGCAGCGCACGTTACAAATTCAAACTTGCGATAATTGACTCAAATATTGAATAGAAATATTTTAATCTATTAGTTTTACTATTAAAGATGATATCTAAAGCTAAACACTAAATGGCGCTCACAGCAAATGGACTTAATTAAAAATCCCCCACTTGATGTACAATTTCAAATCGCAACTGCCGGATTTTAGAGTTGCGTCGTGATTCGCCGCTCGGGAAAAAATTGTGTGTTCCGCGCTATTTTGGCTTTTTGTGAATTTTTCATGAGGAGCGCAGGCGAAACAGGCAGCGATTTGGCGTCTTTTCTGCACTGCTCGTTTCTACGCCAGTGCAACACTGGGCGCGAGCGAGACGCCACCACTGCCAAGTGTGGCGCATCAAAAGCACAGCCGCCGTCCCGCTTGCACCCGCTGCGAAAAGCACCTGCGGCGAAAAGCACTCCGAAGCCACTTGGGCTCAGCCAGCAGCTAACGGTTCCTGTGCGCCTGGTGGGGATTACAATAATTCTACACCGAATGAGTTGTGCAATTTCTTCGAAAAAACTGCTTCCGTTTCGCCATGTGTGCGATTTGCGCACGAAAAATCGGCGGGTGGTGAACTTTTCCTTTGGGAGTGAAAATGGCGGGCTTTCGGAGTGCATTTCTTGTATGTTGTTAACTAGACTTCAAGCATGCTATACAACGTAAGCTGTTTGTCTTACCCCGCTTTTTAGCAGATTTAAAAACTATTCTAATTAAGGCCACATTTGTTTTTAAATGCAGTCAAGTTAGTGGAAGTTTTATGCGCTTTTGAGAAAAAGGTATTATTCTAATTGACTCGAGTGTAATTTGAACTTTTCGGACTAATCATGAGAAACTCCGAGCTGCAATTAGTATATTCTGCAATTAAAATTACAACCCTTTGAATTTGGTACTTAAATATTAAATATTATTAAGACTGAGATTTGCAACTCGTTTTCGAAGTTTAAAGATAGCACTTAAGAAATTGTCAAAGTCGCTTTGCTTTTCAGAGTTAGGTAATGTGGGGTTCATTACCCCAGCAATTAATTCAGTGATAATTATACCCGATATCTTTGCAACTGCTTATTCAGAGACTCGAAAGTCTTTTGGCGGGTGCCCTGTGTTCTTTACTTTGCTTACACAATCGGTGCAGCACAGCGGCCAATAAATGAATTCTTTAGTATAATGTGCCGTCTGAAAAGCTGTTTAAGCTCTCTCGGCCGAAAAAGTGTATAAAACGCTTACGCTCGGATCGGTTGACTCCCCCAAGCCGCCCCGCCACGCCCCGCGGCACCCACAAGCATCGGCGACCTGTTTCAAAACGAAACAAATACATATCATATCGCCCTGCTAAAGCCATCGCCGATTTTCAGCGCCCAGCAAAAGAACTTTCAAAACTGTAGCTTCCATGCTAAATTAACTTGCCAAAGTTGCGAGGCGGCCGCTTTTCGGTATTCAGAAACGAAACTTGAAAAAAGTTAAATCTGCCAAGTTCACCTCCGAGTGCTTTCATTAAAATAGCCAGCCGATGGATGAGGATGATATGGGGGCGGGCCAGACTTTGGCAACATTCCCGGGTTCTCCTCAGGCTAGTTGACTCCTAGCTTCTAGGGTCCGCCACCAGCCCTTTCTCGCTCTAACTGCGCTTCGTAGGGCTGTGTGGCACGTGGGCTCTCGCTCTAGCACGTTGCAGTTGCAAACTTGTTCTGCAAGCTGCATCGCTCGAAAAGAGGAGTTCCGTCTCGATTTGCCCCTCGAGTGAGTGTTCAAAAGTTCTAGGGCACTCGTCCACAAGCACAATGAGTGGAAGAACTTTAGCGGAAAGCGTTTCAATGTTATGAAGGGGTCTTAAAATCAAGTATTGAAAATGTCTGGATTATGCCAGAACCGAAAAGGATCGCTGGAATCAATGGGTAGAAATTTTCTGGACAACAATCCTGAATTTAAGCTATTTGGAGCAACTCGAATTGGTACACTATCTTATCACATATTTTCGAGCTCGGAAAATAGCAGTAGAGTACAGTGAGCAATGGCTTTGTATGTATGTACATACCGATTCTCTGGTGCATGATCATCCTCTTAAAAATCTAAATTAATAATCTCATGATTGATTGTTTAATCGACGTGAAGAATTAGTAAGGCTAACATACATTAGGTGTGAACTGTGCGTATGATTATTTTGGTAATATCCTTGATTAGCGGTAAATTTTACCATGGTTTTCTTGCCCTAATTCATTCATTACCCCTTTAGATAAAGATAAGTAGGGGGGTTTGCGTCCTAACTTAACTCAACATTTGATCTTGCTCCTTACAGTGTGGGTGATATCTTCACTAACCCCATGATCAATGCATCTATGTTACCGTGGTTGTGATTTAAAGTTATTCAACACTACCTTTTTCCTTGCTCCCTTTAATGGCGTGAAAAACGGAGCTATGCTACTAGAATTCGGTTACTTATATATTAAGACCAACATTTTCCTCTTAAATGAACATATTTTATCTCGAACCATGCACCATGAATTTCTATGCTGTTGGTTCTAATTTATACAAGCAAAAAATATGTGCGGAGTTGATCAAATTCTAAAATGCAACAACCTTGCGCCTTTTAACAACTTTTGTATTTACCAAGATTGTGGAGGGGGTAATATGCTCAAATGCCATGAATCTCCTTACGGAGATGTTTCTTTTGAAGTGCTGAAGAAAATACATACATAAAACACACTATTTGGAACTATTTAGATTATTTTATTGATATAGATTAAAGTTTATTAAATAAAAGCACCTCACACACACTTGCAGAAAGCGCTGTTAATGCTTTTTTCGTGCTTTGCGGATTGAAAGTTTTATCAGAAAGCCAAATGTTGGGAAAGGGGGCTGCGGGGAGCATCTCCCCATCTCATCCAGCATAAACAACAAGAACATGCAATTCCCAGCTCACAAGAATATCAAGCATTTTTTCGCTGGGGCTGTTAGATATACGATTGCACATGTATTTTGGAGCAAAATGAAAGCAAGAATGGTTCAAAAGAATGTCAAGCAATTCTTCTTCCTACGCCAAGCTTTAAAAATAAGCTATGGATTTGCAGAGCCCTTTGGAAGATGGTTGAAAATTCTACCTAAGCTTTTGTGCAAGTGCGCTTTAAGCTTAAGTGCAAAATAATAATTATTATTCTAAGGGAAACAAAGCTTTAAATTTGGTACTTAAACAGGTGCAAGGGGAACTCATCACGATGGCCCCTTAATACATAGTGCTGCCCCAAAGAATCTCCACGACTGCATCGCTGCCCTTTTCGCACTCTTTCTCGCGTCCAGTGGCCCGCGACTTTGCTGCGTGCCAGTTGAGACGACGATATGGCGTGTGCGATTGCGATGGGGACAGAACATTGGCGCTACTCCTTTTCGTGGGGCAAAACAAAATGGATTGCTCTTTAACTAAAACAGTTAACAGGCGCGCAGCGCACGCAGCAGAGGGAGCGCGAGCACTGAGCAAACATTGCGGCATATATTCGTCCCTTTCGTGCCCGCACGACAGCCGCGAGCAACCAACTCCAGCTCCTGCTGGCCCGTCACAAAATTCACAAAACCGCTACGAATATACGGCATTCACACTATTCACTCACTCGTACTCGTAGTCGTACTCGTATCCTCCGCCCCCCGCTTTTTCGGGGCGTGGCAGGTGCGAGTGAGTTTGCCGAGTGGATTGAATGGCATTCAGTGCCGATAATGGTGGATACGATACGTCGAGGTTCGCGCTCCTCTGGCGGCGATTTTTGTGTTGTAAAAAATGTTTGAACTGTTTTAAGTTTAAGTTTTAACGGTAACAGTAGAGCAGCAAGAGCAGCAGGTCGATCTATGCCCCGCAAGAGCAAGCGAGACGACCGGCGGCCAGTCGGCGGAAGAGCGAGAGCGAGCTACTGCGGCGAGGTCGTCACCTTGGCATTGAAATATGCCTACCCACACAAAGAAACGAGCAAGCACATGTGTGAGAGTTATGTGTTTGCGAGGGGGAGGGGGATACAGTTCGTTTACCTTTGCGCTCGCTCTGGCGTGGTGAATTGGCTTGTCATGTTGCTTGTGCGTGCGACAGAGAGGCAGACAGAAATGCTAATTACCTGGCGGGAGCACACGATTGGGCAATCGGAGGTGGCGCTCAATCAGCGGGAAAAAGCTATGCTATAGCTAACATATATGTCTAGCTTTTTTGATCATTTTAATTTGAATATCATATGTTTGCGATATAATCGGATGGTAATTATACTTGATGGCTATAATTGTGACCACAGGCTATAAATTATGGACGAGACTTCGAGTTTAGAATTGTAGTAAGTACTTTTTTTGTATAACCAAACTTCTCACCACTGATGGGAAGCGAACAAATTGCTGTTGCCTATAGTTTTGGTCTGCATGTTGCTTATCTTGTGGTTGCTGCTTCGGCCTTTTAGTCGTGATCACGATCACGAGTTGTTCTTGTTCTTTTTCGGCCTGCGGCTGTCAAATGTGTTTCAAAGTCAATGTCGTGCGAGTGCGAGCGAGACAAGCAGCACCGACCCACCGACACACCGCCCCCCTGACCACCTCTCCCTCGCACACCACCCACCTTGTTTTCGCTTTCTGTAGCACATTTCGCAGTGGTGTGCGTGTGTGCTCTTAGCCCGCGTTGTTGTTGCTCCTCCTGTTTGTTGCTGTGTTTGTTTTATCGTTCTAAGTGGTGGTCGTGATTGTTGTTGCTGTTCTGGCTGGCGCTCCCGTCATCATTTAGAACCTTTTTCCGTGTGCGCATGAACAAAAACAAAAAAGAAGGCGGCATAAAAAACGT